TGCTCCCAATCTTAATGATAAAGGCAGACACATTCTACTTCACCCAATCATGACGGTTGCCATTTTGACTGGATTGGCTCATCCATTGATGAGCTCTACTCATCCCCATCAGACACCATCAAAAGTCTCAAACTGATACCTTGATACCCTAATATGATTGAGTGGGGATAAGAAAGAAGTTTGACTTTTTCACTTACAAATGTGCCAGAGCCTAAGGGAAGAAACAGCATTAACACCTACTGAAATTAGTGCCATTAACCATGAAGTGAATAAGGAAATATAATAGCCAGCAGCTAATATCAAACCTAAACTAGACACAATTCTTCTTCACTAGTGGGGTGTAGAGACTTATTTGACCCATTTTCCTTGAAAGGACACAGTGAAATTTAACAACTTTGAAAAAAGAGTAATCAGCCAGAAAAAAAAAATTATATTTAAAAACTGGTGAAAGCATCTGGTTGTTGTTGTTTTTATCCCCTTATGTAAATATTCCATGAGTTCATGCTCCTCAAGCTGTTTTATGATAAGCAGCTGCCTCTTCCAAAGGTCCTGGTTAGTGCATTTAATGCAAGCCAAAATGTATTCTGGAGCTGCAGGTGCCAAGCTACATTTTGGGCAAATGGGGTAGATTTTGTTGTTATTTTCTATCTGCAATGGATTGAGATGGCCTGTTCTAAATCTTGTTAGTGTTGTTTGGTGCTGTCTGAGGTTCAGAGCTCTTCCTGGGTTATCCACTGTACCAGCTGTGCTTAAGTGGGGCCCTCCAGTTCTTTTTTATTTTTGTTTTGGCTACTGTTTCTATTTCTTTAAAAGTAAGTTTATTTTTCCGTGGCTTTTTTTTTTGATAGCGCATCAGCAGCTTCATTGCCTTCAATGCCAACATGAAAGTATCCATTGAAGATGAATTTTTGAGGTTTTCGAGAGTTTTTGGAGATAACCAATTTATGTTCCTGCTTACTTTGTCCTTAAGTTCTCCTGTGTGACTCAAGTGTTGTATGACACTTCTAATATCAGTAATAGGGAAGATAGGATTGGACTATGTGGGTCTATCTAACTTTGAAGGGAAATTCCTATCTGGTGCCTAGTGTGACTAGAGATGGACAACATTGTAAAAGGCTAAGCCGGGAAAAAACCAAACAGAGACAGGAATAAAACTGTTAAGTGACTAAAAATTGTTAGTCCACACACCCAAACAAACAAAGAGGTATAATTATACCAGAGTGTTCCTCCAGCATAGCTCCCAGCACTCTCAATTGTCCAGGTGTCCTCCAGTCCTGGTCCATTCCAGTAGCAGTGGAACTTTGGAAGGAGATCAGCACTACTTGCTGGGCCTGGGTCTCAATGAGGCTTTCCTCCTCCAAGACTGACACTTCTGCCTGCTGAGCACACACATGCATCTGTTACACTTTGGTTGAAGTGGGGTGGCAATAGTGAAACAATTATATATATACAGTTAAACCTGTCTATAGCACCCCCTCTAAATAGCGCCTTCCTCTCTATAGCGCCCGATTTTAAACATTAAAATGTAAACATTTTACATTAAAACTAACCTGTCTATAGCACCCCCTCTCTATAGCACTCTATTTTGGTGAGTCCCAAGAGGGGGGCTATAGACAGGTTTAACTGTATATACAGTAGAACCTCCATGAGAGGACACTCATGCTAGAGGATACCTCTCCACAAAGGACAGTTTTCATTTGCAAAATTACCATTTTTACTATTTAGAAAATCTCCGTTTAGAGGACACCTCTCCCTAAAGGACAGTTTGGCTCTGCAACTAGGTGTCTTTACAGGGAGGTTTTACTGTATATACATTTTCTGGTGACAGGAATATAAACCCTGGACAATGATTGAAGGAATATAAGAGAGTGGCAAAATACAACATAGATGAGACCATGAAAATTAAAAACGTGGTCTTCTATCTGGCTGGAACTGCTGGAAGATGGTATGATAACAATAAAGAATCATTCATTTCATGGAGAAGTTTTGAGGACTCTTTCCACAGGGTGCTTGGACTACAGGAAGACAGTGTTCTGAGGAAGTTTTGAAGTCAAGAGCACAGAAAGCTGAAGAACCCTGCGAATCTTACATCCAGGAAATCCTTAGCCTCTGCCACCAGGTGAATGTGCGCATGGAAGAATAAAGAAGGTAGCTCATATTACAAATGGCATTTTTGAGGACATGTACTAGGTTTTGGTGACGAAAAACATACAGATGGTAGATGAGATCCTTAAGTTTTGCCGTCATCTGGCAACCATCATGCAGCGAATGATTGGCCGCAAGAAATTCGCCAGGTTCTCAAATGCAATGCCCATTTCATGTGTTGATGACCCAGATGATTTAGCCAGCTTAATTCGCCACATCGTCAGGGAAGAAATTCAAAAGGCCAATTCAAGGTACCTGAAGGGGTCAATCCTCTCAGAGAAATGAACGCCCTGAAACAGACTGTGAGAGAATAAGTTAACTGTGGTCTCCAACCTAATAGACCACAAATTAATGTTGTACAACAACCATATGAACCCTATAATCTTGACCAGCCACCCCAACCCAGGAAGACATGGCAATGGAGGACTTACGACAACAAACCCCTTTGTTTAAGCTGCGGATGACCAGGACATGTCATTTGTTATTGTAGGGAATGACAGAAGGTTTTAGCTGAAGCCAGGAATGCCGGACAAGGAGGAAATCACAGATTTTCGAGACAACCCCCAATATAGGATGCCACTACTGACGACTATGTAGGGCCCAAAATCTTGATGTACTTCTATTGGAGCTCTTCCCCACATCCAAGCTGGACAAGGTCACCAGCCTGCTGTTTCAGCAGTCTCCCAAGCCTCAGAATGAAAAACACTTAGTGGCAAGGCTTCAAACAGGGATGAAGAGCCATTAAAGAAAATCCTACCTGGTATAATCGCTGCTAAAAAATTCGAATGGGACTTCTTTAAGGTCACCGAGGCTGTCATTGATTTTTTGTGGCAGAAATGAACTCCATCTCTGGGAAACTTCTGTTTAGTAATATCAGGAGGAGGAAAACCAGAGATTGTTCGCTTCTGATGACTTTGTCATCTCATTTAAATCAATAGAGAAGATCAGGGTGATAAAGAAATATGTGGATCAGAGAAGTTTTAGTCATAGCTTCTAAAGTCTTATTATTAAGAAAGGAAGAATTTATACCACTCTCTGGTTACATTTCAACACGACTGAGTTCACATTTGGGAGGCGAATGGAACATCATGGCTGCAAATTATTCCATCACAAATGAAAATGTGCACCATGGAAAGTTGGAAGAATGGGAATATCTGCAATTTAGTCCAACCAAGTGATAAGTTACATGAAGCGCAGGTAAAGTCAAAAGTGAATGGTCTCGGAAGATAAACCTTATTTATATTATATGCCTGAATGAGAAAACACACCAGTCTTAGGAATGGTTAACATGAAAAAAAATAAAAATAAAATAAAGATGTAAAAAAAAAAAAGACCATGATGTAATTATATTATTAAATGCCAATAACGCTATTCATGTGTTTAGAAGGTCATATTTTCAATAAGGGTTAATACTGACACTTTATAATTAGCATTATAGTAAATTTTTTGTTTGTTTGGCCTGTGTTCTTTCTGTTTCCTTATACATTCTAGTTAGCCCACACAGGGGGGTTGGTGAAAGGATAGTCTAAACCAGTGGTTTTTGACCGCTACGACCCGGGTTCGATTCTCGCATAGGGCACTTTTTTCTGATAAAAAAAAAATGCTCCAATGGCCCCCGATTCTTGCAAAAGTCCAACCCCACCAGCGCGTGCAAGTAACCAAACGGGGCTCTTGCACATTTGTAAGTGCAAAGTCGAACTGCTTTTCACATGTGTAGACATGTGGTGACTTACAGTAAAAGCAGTTGCGATCTTTTACCCACCATGATTATCATGGCCTGTACCACGTGTACTAAGGATAAGCAAAAAAAAAAATAAGAAGATAAATTATACCAGGAGTGTCCCTCTGGCATAGCTTCCAACACTCTTAATCGTCCAGGTGTCCTCCAGGCTGTCCCAGTTCTGGTCTATCTCTGGTAGCAGTGGAACTCTGGACTGTAGCACGAGATCAGAACTTCTTACATGGCCTGTGTCTCAAGGAGGAATTCCTCCTCCAAGACTGGTCCTGCTGGCTGCTGAACACATATGCTGCTGTTACACTTTGGTTGTAGTGGGGGGGCAATTGTGAAACACAATTATAGATATCTCTAATTTATTAAAAACTATATCAAAAAATGTTTTCTTTCATCAGTGAGAGAAAGTTACACCCCTCACACCAATTTTATTCTTTCAGTGCATAAAGGTTTATAGAAAATTTAAAAAAAATGGGACAAAATTAACATCAATAATAAATTGATAATAAAGTCTAATTTGGATTATATAGCAAAGAAAATACACTAGATGACAAGAATAAATATAATGATAAGGCACAATTTGGATTATAGATTATAAACACAAGATAATAAGACCAAATCCAAATAAATAAATAGTGTGTGACCTTTTGGTAACAATCTTGTTACCGAAACATCACACACTATTTATTTATTTGGATTTGGTCTTATTTCCTTGTGTTTATAAGAATAAATACAAATAAATTGATAATATATGATGTTTTGGTAACATCATTGTTAACATCTTCGCACAAATATATTAAATGAAAAACATCATTTTATATGCCTAACCCAGACTCCTTTAACATAAAGAAGTTGCCAAACACCCAGGTTTGATTTCAAATTTATTGTCTATTTGTTAGATTTGGCATCAAACTGATCCAAAAAGTTATAAACAAACATCTAATTCATGACTTGGGTTGAAAATTTGCTAGGAGTCATCAATGCCTGTGCCTAGAGTCCAATTGATATCTTAGTTTTAGCGTTATTTATGCTGAGTTTAATGATAAGGTACAATTTGGATTAAATATTATAAACACAAGGTAATAAGACCAAATCCAAATAAAATAAATAGTGTGGAAAAAAGTGGCCCGTGGGGGGATCGAAACCATGACTTTCGCCTTATTAGCACGACGCTCTAACCAACTGAGCCAATGGGCCCATTAGCTCAGTTGGTTAGAGCGTCGTGCTAATAACTCGAAGGTCATGGTTTCAATCCCCCCATAGGCCACTTTTTTTACACAAAATTTATTTATTTCAATTTGGTCTTATATTACCTTGTTGCACTAACGCGCCATCTGTTATCAAAATTCAAAACTATTTTAAAGGCGTGAGATTCTTTTTAAAAATAAACAATTTATACTGCCCTTACTGCAGTAAGGGCAGTAGAAATTGTTTATTTTCAAAAAGAATCTCACGCCTTTAAAATAGTTTTGAATTTTTATATTACCTTGTGTTTATGCTGAGTTTAAATTATCCAAGGTGGCCATTCTGCATGCTTGTATACCAGTTGCTCTCCTTACAGTTTACCTGGTGCACCACATGATCCTTGATGATGGCACACTCTGTGGTGACCAAGGTTCTGCCAGAGGAGAAGCACAGTTCCACAATCTCTTGGGCTTCTTTCATCACCGGCCCAAAGTCCTCCACCTCTGCCTGAAAAACACCAATCTCACTCTTCTAATCTATAATCCATATTGTATATTATTATTATATAATTTTAAAATATCTTGAAAGTTTGAAAACTCAGCAATGTTTCTTCTTAATTTTTTTTCAAATTAAATCAATAATAAGAGTATTTTTGAATATATAAAGCTTATGCTTATAATTTAAAAGACTGGATATCAGATAAATCAAAAATTCCTTTTTAGAAAAAATATTGCATAATAAATTTTAGAAATATATTATTATAAAAAAATAATAAACAAAGCTATTTCTTAAAAAATTATTTTGAAAATGTCCAATTTTTAATTTAGTAAATTGCTTAAATAATAAAATGGGGCATGTGTGTGTGAGATATAGATTAATATACAGTTAAACCTGTCTATAGCGCCTCCTCTTGGGACTCACCAAAATAGGGTGCTATAGAGAGGGGGTGCTATAGACAGGTCACTTTTAATGTAAAATGTTTACATTTTAAGGTTTAAAATCGGGCACTATAGAGAGAAAGGCGCTATTTAGAGGAGGCGCAATAGACAGGTTTAACTATATATATCTCAAATGCTCCATTATTTAAGCAATATACTAAATTAAAAATTGGACACTTCTTTTAAAATAATTCAAGAAGAGAGCTGAATTTTTGAGAACGGCTATATTTGGCGATAAAGCACAATTTGGATTATAGGTTAGAAACACATTATTTGGATTTGGTCTTATTACTTTGTTTAGCTATATGTGGCAAATAGACATCAAATATGGAAGTTATCTTTGTATATATATCTATGAACAATCTCTATCCAACAGTTCCAATCATCAATGGAGCGTGGAGGGGGCGAAATCTGACTGCAACCTCCTAGAAGGCCTTAGGCAGGTCCACCCTGGATACCCAACCAACTGCAGCAATACCCATCATGGAGACTTTAGTTCATCTCTTGTACATGGAGGCAACTAGAGAACCTTGTATCATAATCCTCAACATATCTTACATTTAATCAATGTAAATATTCTCCATGACCTTGTATAATGATACATCAGATAATTAAAAAAAACTAGGTGAATGACTTCATGTAACTACATTAAAAGTATGAAAAAGGCATCTCCTTATCAAGCAACTGAAAGTTGCTGATGGCTTGCGCCATCTATCAGAATAAATATCAACTATTCTCGTTGATTTTTAATTATTCCAGAATTGGCCAAATACCCATTCTTGATTAATCAAGAAAAGCTAACTATGGATGCGTTTCGGGCTGTTGGCTCTCATCAGCGTGGTTCAAGCTGGAATAATTAAAAATCAATAAGAATAGTTGATATTTATTCCGATAGATGGCGCAAGCCATCAGTAAATTTTAATTGCACGATAAGAAGATGCCTTTTTCATAATCTATGCACCTTATCCCAGTACAATATCACATTTGTACTATTTTTTACATTAAAAGTAATCACTATGGACCAAGAGCTGTATATGCTCCATTTTAAGGGTGTGGGCAATGGTTTCAGTTCTCCATGTTAGGTGCAACCTCATTTAAAGCCAAGTGGGATGCCACAAGTGCTTCAGATGTTTAAATTCAAACATACTTTTACCCAACACATTAGTTAATACTTATCACAATCATGAAAATTTTGGTAATTGGATCAGGAAGAACCGAGTGATACATTTGAAATAACAATTTATTGAAATCTAATGGTGCACATGATTGGTACAGAGCAGGAAAGACAAGCACCGGTTCCCAGAGAACAACAGTCTTTGATTTCCAGACTTAAGTCTGGTCATCTACGGACAATGACTTTCCCCAGAATGGTTGCAGGGTTTTCCCACTATGTACTAAGTGCAATTCTCAGCCTGCAACCCCAAGACATATTATTGACTGTATTGACTCATCCATTGATGAGCTTTACTCTTCCCCGGCAGACACCATCAAAAGTCTCAAGCTTTACAAGCTTGTATCACCTTAGTGTGATTGAGTGGAGATAAGAAAGAAGAAGATATAACAATTTTGTGAATACTTTGTTTTTGATTTTTTTTCACATTTGTACAATTCATGGATTAACACTTAAGACACACAATACCCATGTCTATATGTAGTAGCTACATAATAACTTCCTGTTATTCGACGAAAACATGACTGAGGACACCAGTCACCCAGAGATACATAGCTGGCACAGAAAGTCTGAATGCTGTCAGAAGAGTTAGACTAGAAGAACATTGCTGCAAATCATTACACAAATGTTTATAATTTTAATATATACACGAGGTGTGTTCAAAAAGTATCGCGACTTTTGAATTTTCGCGGGTTAGGCATATTCGAATTTCGATCTTTTTGTGGCTTTATGTTGGTACTCATGTCTCTCACTTATGCCGACAAGCTCGTCCATTTTGAATGTTCACTTAATTGTTGACAGCTACTTTGCTTGCAGGTGTTTTGGATCGTCTTCGATTTTTACCTATTAAAAAAAAATGGATCAAAGAACCTGTATCAAATTTTGTGTGAAAAACGAAATTAAGTGCGCGGATGCATTCCGAATGTTGACTGTGGCATACGGAGAAGCTACCTTGGACCGAAGCAACGTTTATCCGTTATACAAAATGTTCTCAGAAGGCTGAGAAGATGTGAACGACGAAGAGCGTGCCGGACGTCCGAGCACTTCAACAACAGACAAAAAAATTAATGAAGTGGAGAAAATGATATTGGCCAATCGTCGAATCACCGTTAGAGAAGTTGCTGAGGACCTAAACATATTGATTGGCTTGTGCCATTCGATTTTTATCAATGATTTGGTCATGAGATGGGTCGCTGCGAAATTCGTACCAAAATTGCTCAATTGCGACCAAAAACAACATCGCATGAACATTGCTAATGAGATGTTGGACTCTGTCCGCGACGACCCAAATTTGCTCCAGAGGGTCATAACTGGTGACGAAGCGTAGGTTTATGGTTATGACGTGGAAACCAAAGCTCAATCATCTCAATGGAAGCTGCCGCACGAACCAAGACCGAAAAAAGCGTGCCAAGTTCGGTCGAATGTGAAAGTTTTGCTGACAGTTTTCTTCGATTGCAGGGGCGTGGTGCATCATGAGTTCTTGCCACAGGGTAGAACGGTCAATAAGGAATATTACCTGCAAGTTATGCGCAATTTGCGCGAAGCAATCCGCCAGAAACGCCCGGATTTGTGGAAGAACAAAAATTGGCTTTTGCACCACGATAACGCCCCTGCTCACACATTGTTGCTTGTGTGCGACTTTTTGGCCAAAAACAACACACTAATGATGCCGCAGCCACCGTTTTTTCCCCAGATTTGGCCCCCTGTGACTTTTTCTTGTTCCCTAAACTGAAGAGGCCCATGAAAGGACGACGTTACGCTACGCTTGACGAGATAAAGACGGCATCGAAGGAGGAGCTGAAAAAGATTTTAAAAATGATTTTTTGAAGTGCTTCGAAGATTGGAAAAACCGTTGGCACAAGTGTATAATATCTCATGGGGATTACTTTGAAGGGGACAAAATAGGTATTCATGAATAAATAAATAATTTTTGAAAAAACACAAAGGTCGCGATACTTTTTGAACACACCTCGTATATGAAAAAATAATAGAAAAAAATAAAAAAGTCAGGTGTTGATATTAAAAATAAAAAAGGCATATCCTGACCAAGAGCACATGTGCTTTTCAGATGGCAGAGTGCCATCTTGTGGAACAGAAATCAACTAAACATTGATTTAGCCTGTTCCCTGATATTTGGCCAACCCACTTTCTTGATAAATGAAGAAAAGCCAACCATGAACACGTTTCACGCTGTTGGCACTCGTCAGCATGGAGTAGGCTGTACCACTACGGCCAAAAAGATTTTTGGTCCCAGAGGCTTCTTGAGAAACCAAGAAATGGGTATTTAGGGCCAAACTTGCGTAGATACGCTTAGCATATGAACACAAGGATCAAGTGGTGATAATTAAAATAAAATGGCATAACCTGAACACTCACATGAGCATTTTTTATTTTTAATATTACCTCCTGACCTTTTCTTTTTCTTACTTTTTTTCACATGATTAGCATATTTATGCAAATTCAGACTAAATATCCATTTCTTGATTTCTTGGTAAAACTCTTGGACAAATTTTTAGTCATTGAGGTAGAGTCTGCACCATGCTGATGAAGGTCAAGAGCCCAAAATATGTATGTGGTTGGCTTTTCTTGATTTATCAAGAAATTGGTTGGCCAAATATTATGGAGTAGCCTATATAAATCACATTCAGTTATTTTTATTCATTTAGATGGTGCTCTGCCATCTAAAAGTGCTCAAAGTAGTGGTCAGGATATGCTTTTTATTTTTTAATAAATATTAAACTACACCATTATATATATATTTAGTCCATAAGTCTCGATGATGGGTAAAAAGAGCTGCTGAGATTGGTTGGCTATCCAGGGGGCACCACATGGAGGTGACAGTCAGATTTTGCCCCCCCTGGTGTAAAGACCTTCCCAAAATGCACCATCTGCAGAACCAGAGAGGCCTCACCGGACCACCTCTTGGAATGCATGGAAGCCTCAAGACAGGACCTATATTCCAACCCTGTCAGG